AGAGAGGTGAAAGAGAAAACCGCCAACACATCTCCAGAACGACAGAGCCTCACTCTCTCCCTCCCTCCCTCCCTCCCTCTCTCTCTCTCTCTCTCTCTCTCTCTGTCTGTGTGTCTGTCTTTGTCTCTCTCTCTCTCTCTGTCTCTCTCTCTCTCTGTCTCTCCCTCTCACGGCAACTAAAAAAACAACCATATCTCAAACCACACCTCACTCATTTTACGCTGTAGGATGAAGATGAAGGGGAGGTTGGCGATGAGAAGAAGAACACGGCAGGGTTAAAGCATTTATTGTTCAGTGACCCGTGTCGTTTGGCGTATAATGATTCTCGGTTTACAATTGTAGTATTGTTTGTTTTGCAAAGAATTTCAATCAGTTAAAAGTCATAGATGCTGTTTACATTCACAAGCGTAAGCCAGACCAATGCATTCAGAAAGAACATGTCACGGCATCCACATTCTTTCCTTAGCACCGTAACTGTATTTTGCACATTATTATTATTATTATTATACGCATTCCCGCGGCAGCGTCAACCAAGCAGTTATGCTTGATCCACACGTTCGCTTATGCTGGACATTGAAACAAAGCAGATGTAGACAGCTCCTAGAGAATGGGGCTCTACAAAACCAATGATCGAAGTTAGTCCTTCAGTAACATGGAGCGTCATAAAATTGGTCTCATTGGAAAAATGTCATCACTATTGTCTCCTCATGTAGCATCATGGTCAATGGGTGGCCAGATAATTATACGTATGAGGTTGAGTTGCCAGATAATTATTAAAAGATTCAAATAGTAATATTATTATAGAATGGTTGTTATGAGTTTATAAGGGTGCCATGGCTGTTTCTACTTGTGACGAGGGTGTGCACAAACACTCTTCACCAGCGCGTTCCATGCTGGACGGTCCACAGCAATCCGCTCCAGACGGCGCAAGTCCTCAACACTCCGCAGGTGCCCATTGTTCGACTGGGACAGATCGGTGTGGAGCTTTATTGGTAGTGTCACCCTCGGCCTCCCACGGTACCTCCCCTCGGGTGCCTGAAAGTATTGCTCCATGCTCAATCGTGCTGGCGTGTCCTTACCCAGGCGAAGCACATGCCCGAATAAACTCCAGCGTGAATTTCGGATCAAGTCCGACACCGGCTCCACTCCACATCGGGCATACAACGCCAAATTACTAATCTTTTGTGGCCATGTGATGCCGAGAAGTGACCTGAGTTGCCTTCTATGGAAAGCGTCCAGGGAGCGTTCGCTAGCAACCGTCAGGCCCCAGGTGCCTGAATTATAGAGAAGTATCGGCATGATAAAGGCGCAGTACAACCTCATACGCAGAGGCTCTCGGATCAGTCCTCGGCGCTTCCAAAGAGACCACATGGATCGGAAGGCAGCCTCGGCCAATTGCCTGCGACGTGTCACATCCTCAATGTCGCCCAGGAGTGAGCCCAGCTTTCGGGATGTCCTCCAGCGCTCGTCAATTCTGTCTACAGATCGACCCAGCTCTGTCCACTCAGTTTTGGTGTTGTTGACTCTCAGGGCCCACTGCCCGAGAGTGTGGTCTATGACCGGTTCGAGCTCTGTGAGCCATTGACGACTAAGGCTTATGAAATCAGTGTCATCTGCGTAGACAAGCTCAAATGGAATGTTGATGCTTTGATCCATTGGCGGTCTGTTTCGTGCCACCTGGGTGCTCCTCAGATCTCTCAGTGCTGCCTCTAAGTATATAACAAACAACACCGGGGAGAGAGAATCACCCTGCGGGGTGCCAATTGTAGTTTCAAGGGACTCTGATACTGCCCTGCCGATGCGTACCTGCAGAGTTGTGTTGGTCAACAGCACTCTAACCAGCCGAACATCATCCTCCGTCATGAAAGACTCGAGAACTGTCAACAGTTTGTCACGATGTATACAGTCGAATGCTTTGGACATGTCGATTCCAAGAATGGTCATTTCCCGCCGATAATGCTGACATGTTGCTGCAAACCATCTGTGGCTCCAAACAAGGTCCGCTGTAGATCGGCCTGCTCTGAAACCACTCTGCGTCGGAGACAAGTACTCACCGACTTTCGACGATATTCTTCGCAATGTAATAATGGAGAGCGTTTTGCGTAATGATGTAAGGAGGACAATAGGGCGCAGATTTCCAGGTGGTCCAACCGTCATTTTGCACATATGTTTGTTTTATTCACCCTCTCTCTTTCTCTTTTCTTACAGTTACACTTGTGTTTTATCACACTATAGAATGACTGCGCATGTATTTTATAGATTGCGATTATTATCACTGTCGGGAAGGAAAACACCAATTTTACAGGGCCCTAAAAGTCTGAACGATACCTATGAAATGCACTGTCAAAGCAAACACAAAAATTAATATGAATATGCAAGCTCATGCCTGAGGGGAAGATGAGAAGTTGAAACGTGGAGATTTTTCGGACAGGACGAGAATCCGAAGAACCTGGGTGATTCCCTTACTTCCACAATGGGCTAGTGGCTGCATCACAAAAATTATACCTTGCAGTGGGTGCAGAGACAGATCAATAAACACTAACCTGAGCATGAGAGCTGCTCGTATTCATTGCGATCGTCAGGAAAATGGCAGGACGAACGGACCAGAAGAATGTTGGCTATGACAAACAACTGCATATCCAGACGACACACGGCTTGACTATTTGCTTATGACGTTCAGCTTCGAGGTCCAGCACGATGGAATTTTCGGAAGGAACTGATTTTTGAATTATTTGGGGAAGAAGATTGCACTCAGAAAAGGTACCGTAACTGGTTTCTTTCATTTGAAAAGCTGTTCACCAAAGTCCTAAACATACACTGTACGACGTTTCGGAGCTGCTCCAAATCGATCGATTTGTTTTGAATGGTTTCGCCACCGCTTTCCGATCGATCGATCCTTGCGCGATCTGTCGATCGACAGATCGCGCAAGAAAATCGATCGATTTTCCAAATCGACAGAACGCGCACAACATATACATCCCCTTTAAAGGGGAAGTTAAGGCAAAAATTAAAATTTCACCAGTTGTAGTCTTCGGGGTGCTGAGTCGAATGGTCTTGGTCCGAGAAAGCTGAGACGCTCCCTTCCTACTTGAATCCCAATCGAACTCGCGCACTTCCACCGAAACTGGGTGACTGCGCCCTACTAGATGGGGATTTGTATGCAAAATGTCACTAAAAGCGCCATTTCGTTCTTATAAAAGCACGGATGACCGCGATTGGCCCATATGTTGTAGTCTTTTGGACGCTGAGTCGACTGGTTTTGGTCCGAAAAGGCTGCGATGCAGCGTTCCTCCTTTATTCCCAATCGAACATGGTTGAAGAAGCGGTCACGTGCTCCTGCGTACACCAGTCACCTGGTCACCGTGCCTGCAGGGTACAACTTACTAGCCTGTTTGACCTTTTTTGGGTGCAGTCCTGTCACTCGAGTTGAACCCGAGTTGAACCTTGGTGTGAAAGTTGTCACCCGCTGGCGTGGTGACCAGGTGATTTGGGCACCCAGGACCACGTGACCGCTTGTTCAACCATGTTGGATTGGGAATAAAGGAGGAACGCTGCATCGCAGCCTTTTCGGACCAAAACCAGTCGACTCAGCGTCCCAAAGACTACAACATATGGGCCAATCGCGGTCATTCGTGCTTTTATAAGAACGAAATGGCGCTTTTAGTGACATTTTGCATACAAATCCCCATCTAGTAGGGCGCAGTCACCCAGTTTCGGTGGAAGTGCGCGAGTTCGATTGGGATTCAAGTAGGAAGGGAGCGTCTCAGCTTCCTCGGACCACGACCATTCGACTCAGCACCCCGAAGACTACAACTGGTGAAATTTTAATTTTTGCCTTAACTTCCCCTTTAACGCTTCAAAATCGCTCTATTGACACTGAAAAATCGCTCTGTTGACACTACAAAATTGCTTATCATCTCCCTTCCTCCCCCCCCCCCTCTCTCTCTCTCTCTCTCTCTCTCTCTCTCTCTCTCTCTCTCTCTCTCTCTCTCTCTCTCTCTCTCTCTCTCTCTCTCTCCCCGTAGCTCTCTCCCTTTTGAAATTCGCTTCCATAGAATTGGGCACCATTGCCCGTTTGGCCTTGCGAAGTAAAATAAAAATCAACAACAACAACATGTATAACAACAAAGCCTGAAGCAGAAAGACGTCTGTATTATTATTATTATTTGTAAGAAAAGGGTTTGCTCCCCACACAAATCATCGCCGAGGTCGCAACCACTACTTCGTATTATTATTATTATTAACTTTTATTTTACTAGGGTGTTTCCCACAGACCTATGGTCTTCTTACGGGAGCCCCTAGGAAGGTTATGCATGAGCGAATAAATGAGCGGTAATCGGTACAAGTACGAACAGTGGAAGGCAGCATATTCCACCGGTCAGCAGCGAGATAGCCAATCCGAGAAAAGCCAGCCGTACTCTGTGCTGGGGGTAATGCCAAAGAAAAAGACACCTGGGATCTCGTAGTGGCAGTGGTGTGAGAGCTACAGCAGCGGCTGGTAAAGATTTCTTGAAGCAAAGAGCTGCATGTTCCGCTATGGATGCACCGGAACAAAAGAATGAACAATGTAGGGCCTTCCTATCAAAATATTAAATAATTCTACTACTGCTACTAAAGCGGCTTATGTGCTTATAAGCCCGGCTTTTATCCGCGACTTTACGGTAACTGTCGCACTCCCCTATCCCCTGGCCTGGGCTTTCTTTCCTGGGCCATGGGCTGGGGGCTGGGGGGTTACTGAATACTGCCAAGAGTACATAACCCCCGCGGGGGGGGGGGGGTTATGTACTCTTGATACTGCCCATGGCCTGGACCAGGGAGTCGTCAAATACCGTATTTGTAATACCGTATTTGACGACTCCATGGTTTGGACTGGTGCACCGGTACGGTGCACCGCGTACCGGTGCCATCAAGAGTCCATAACCCACTGGTTTATGGACTCTTGGTGCCATGCATGACGTGACGTCAAGTCACTCAAGGCCGGAAAAAAGGTTGAATGTCGTTTGGTGGTTTCTCTTCGCAGTCGGTTTTCTCACCTGTGGCTGCTCGGCTGAAAATTCCCCTCACCTTGTTTCTTGAAGTCTTGCAGAGCACAGTTGTGACCGTTTGTCATTTGGCCAGCAGAAAGCAAGATGCCTGGACAAGAGAAAGTTGAGATGCAGTGGATGCCACGGCCGGAGGAATCCGCGCCGTCCAATTGCCCACAAGGGCTGGAGTACCTGCTGTTGATCGACCAGCTTCTTGTCCACCAGAAAATTGAACTGCTGGAGCTAATGACCGGCTTCGAGACTGAGAATAAGTACGTCGTGAAGAATTCATTAGGCCAACAGGTGTATTACGCCAAAGAAGTTTCGGACTGTGCTACACGTCAGTGCTGCGGACCCAACCGTCCGTTTCAGATGCAGATCACCGACAACGCCGGCAAGGAAGTGATGAGACTGGACCGTCCCTTCCGCTGTGGATTTCAGTGCTGTTGTGAAACGCAGCGGCCTTTCCTGGAAGTGCAAGCGCCGCCGGGCAATCCCATTGGATACGTGAAGTCCGAGGCTTGCGCCTGTGTCTGGCCCACTTTCTTGCTTCTGGATTTGAATATGCAGCCAATTCTACGCATTCACACTCCTTGCTGTGGCGTCGGATGCTGTGACTGTTCGCCAAAGTATCCGGTGAGATCTATGGATGGCCAGGACGTCGGTCTCATCCAGAAGCAGTGGTCAGGATTGACAAAGGAGATGTTCACCGACGCGGACAACTTTGGCGTCAGTTTCCCCATGGACCTGGACGTCAAGATGAAGGGCGTCATGCTGGGAGCACTCTTTCTTATCGACTTCTTGTTCTTCGAAACCCAAAAGCAAAACCACTAGGGTGCAGTGGGTCAGTAGCCAGAGTATCTGTTGCTTGTTTGTCAACATCCACCCAAGGAAATACACCAAGGATACACTGGCACTGAGATGGGAGGTCGCTGCTAACGCATACAAGAGTGTAAGCCAGGGCCTTGACTTTTCTTTCCAATTTCAGTCGCTTCGTCAAGTATTTTGTTGGTAGGTCCGGGACAACGAATTGAGCTTTAAGAATCTCTCTGTCTGTCCCCCCCCCCCCCTCTCTCTCTATATATCTATCTATCTTTCTGTTTCTCTCTCTCTCTCTGATCACTTGCTGTCTTGGTCTGTCTCATTTTGTTTTTATCCCCCATACATTAGGTCATTGCACACATCTTAGATTTTTGTTTTGTTTCAGTGCTAGTTCCTGGCAACGCTAGACAATAGTGAGTCGGGAAAAGTAGACGTGACGTGTCAGGGTGCTGCTGTGCACACATGGTGTGTGTGTGTGTGTGTGTGTGTGTGTGTGCGCGCGCGCGCGCGTGCATGTGTGTGTGTGTATGCGCATGTCCGGGTGTGTGAGGGTGTACGTGTGTATGGCATGCTGTTGCTGTCACGGGCCAAGACATTACATTTCAACCAGCTAGTACTGTGTTCTGTATATAACCTATACAGACTGCTGATATTGTCCAACGCTACCTACCTTCTTTGTCCTCTCCTCTCTTCCTCTTTCTCCATCCTTTTTCTCTCACTCTGCTTGTTTAGGCTCTAATTAGGAATGGACTTGCCCTTGTTTCTCGTTTTTTTCTCTTCATGTTCCTCTCTCAGCTTTTCTTAGCCTCTTTTTTCTTCTTATGATAGGATAGGTCATTGGGATAGGTCATTGCTCTTTGAATCAAGCGTTACTACGGTTGTAGTTGTTGCGATTTTTGTAGCCTTCACAATGCCGCCCTAGTAACACTGCCGCCCTAGTAACACTGCGGCTTGTGTGTCTGCTGGCTTCTGGAGAAAACATTGGTGAACACGGAACTTGTTGCCACGTCTGACCGATGCTGTAGATGCGTGCGCGATGTACTTGCGGCGTGTGAACTGTGCATGGTGCGTGCATGTCGCGCAGTGCTGAGAATACAAACTGCTTTCACTTGTTGCAGCACCCATTCACCGCAACAGGGCGTTCGTAGCGCGAAGGTAGTGATAGCAGCAAGATGAACTTGCACGTTTGGGTACTCATTTTAGAAATGCATGTGTTGTACATGGATGAGTACGGGTAAGAGACAAGAGGGGCGGGGTTCAAGGGTTTGTCTTCCATATACGGGTACATTTACTCTGCGTGGTTCTGCCAATTATTCATTAAAATACTCGTCCGGTATACCGGTACTGATGAAGGCTGATGAGATGTAATAAGGTCGAAGCTGCTAGCAGTCCGGGAATTGAGTGATACGTCAGAAAACATCTTAATCATTCTGCAAGACCTGTGACAAAACGTCCAGTGAGAAGGCATATTTTGCCTGTGCCTATGGTGAAGTAAAATAAAGCTACTAGTACACTAGTATTCAACAAACTAACATACAAATAAGACATGTACTGGTAATGGGTTTTTTTGCGTTATCCTGATTTATCTACCAACAAGCTGTTTGCCACTGATTTCTCGTCTGTCACAAGACTGTGGCACCGGTTTGCACCGCATGGTCTGAACCCGGGGGGCTATCTGTGTTTCACCAGGGGCACACATAGCGGCAACGCCTTGTTCTCGTTCTGCCTGTGTGAACTTCCCACTGCGACACTGTTGATCTGATACTAGGTAATATCACCAAGAGTACACAACCTCAAGAGTATCCAACTCTCCACATATCATATGGGGTGTGCATGTGGCACGGCACGCTGCCCGCATTACGTAGTCACAAAGTGCGAGCCATTACGTCATTAATATTGATTTGCTACGGTTTCCTGCTTCCAAGACCGCTTTTCTTGGAACGGTCCTCTTTCCACCCGTGAACGGGCAAAATACACGAGAGAAATGGCTGAAATTGGCGAAACCAACAAAATATAGGAAACTGAATGCGTGTGTGTGTATGTGATGGGGGGGGGGGGGGGGTGAAAGGGAACGGCTTTGGCTGGGTTGAGAATGATGCATTGTACATGTAGAGCTGACAAAGATATACTAAAGACTGAAGTAGAAATGAATATTTTAATATGGCAAACATGATGCCAGCACAGCACGCCATGATACATTGGTCTGCACGGGGCTGTTCTCTTTATGAGCCCTGGTTACACTCTTGGCCATTGCTGCCATCGGCCCCAAGTCCGCTCAAGGCAGGACTTAGCTAGCACACCAGAGCATGCCAGTTACCATGGTTACCTGTGTGATAAGGAGGCTGTAGTATAGTACAGTACTGCAGCAGCACTGGTTCAACGCCCGTATGCATACAGTAGAGTCGCTCGTCCAAGAACGTTGTTTCCAAGGGGTTAGCCTGGGACGTTCTTAATTTTCAGCAATCTGGCTGCGTTCTTATAACACGTTCTTAGAAGCAATCCGTATTGTATTATGTATTCCACAAGCTGCCAGAAAACCAACACTGCCGTTCTTAGCTTCAGGCTGTGGCGTTCTTAGAATTTCAGGCTGGACGTTCTTGGGCTCCACGTTCTTCAGCGCGCGACTCTACTGCAGTCATACACGTCCAGACTGTACACTGGCACAGGCTGTACACTGACTGCATGGAGTGACACAGGCTGTACTGTAGGGAAAGGTACTAGTATAGCCTATTCAAGCACCACGACACTCGCTAGCCCTAGGCTGTGCGTACGCCTGAGCTTACTGGACATGTGCCGCAATCTCCTGGACGAGCTTTTTTTTTATGAGAAAGAGCAGCGAGTCAGTCAACCTTGTGCTGTGAATCGATCTCTGGTTGACTTAAAGACGACTGGGTCTGCACTTATCCCTTGACGTGGCTCAATCAATGGTCCATTTACAAAGAAGGGACTCGTTAATTTGGGCAAGATCTCCAGAACACCTACTCCGGTTTCGAACGTTCTGCGTGGGATCATGTCTTGAAAAACTACAAAGCCAGGTTGCCCGCTACGACCATGAACACATAATACTAGTGTGCGCGTACGTTAAGTTGTACATTGTACGCACATTGACCCCGAAAGCAGCATGATGGCAATCGTGTATCTCTTCCCAGAGAACAAAAGCAAATAGCGATCCACTGCATAAAAGTGCTCAATACCTTTCGATAGAGCTACTAATACTAAAACGTTCAACAACAAAACTACACTAGATTTAGCCTGATGGTTGCATGATGCATGAGACTCCGAGTTGCAAAAAAGAGATCTTGGTAGTTTTGTTGTTGAACTGTTTTAGTCTTCCCAGAGAACAATATTCGCAAAACGACACGGGGCCGTGCGTCTGTGTGCTGACCACAGCACTCCAAACATATAAAGCAAGCGTTTATATAGTTGTTTAGTCGGACTACATAATCATCCAGACAGAAATGTCGTATCCGACAGAGTGTACCACCAGTACCTAATCATGGGGCTCGGACTCAAGAGAGAGTCGGTTTTAAAAGGAAAGGACCAGCCTAACTCATAAATCATGATGTTCGAATAAAAAAAAGAAGCTATTGTCATAATATTATGCTACATGTAAGGCATACACAGGAGGGGAGCACAACATATACAGTAGTACTGAGAATCTTCACAATCAAAAAAATTAATAATTCGGCACGGCACTCCTCCTGGGCAAACCATTCACCTATTCACATGGATTATGTACAAGTTGGTGTCAGTGCTAATAGAGAGCACACTAAGAACGATATATTCTGCTCCTCCCCGCTCATCTTCTAAATCAGTTGCTCCGACTACAAGCGTCACTGCATTACTTCCACCCAAACTCCAAAGAGAAAAAAACCTAATAGCAACAGCCTTACTTTTCCTCTTCCTCCTCGTCGTCGGGTTTCTGGAAAATTGGCTCCGGCTGTGTCTTGGAGTAGGCTGGAGAAACCCAGTAGGGATCATTCTTGGCTGCCTCGGCATGTCGAAGAATGGACTGACGTGGATCACTGTTATCCAACACTCTCTTTGCAATGTTCTGTCCAACGTGGCGGGCGAGACTGCTTCCGCCGGATATGCGGCCGCCTTTCCCGTGACCGCCGTCCATGGGAAGCTCCGGTCGGTGAGACTTGATGGGATCTTGGCGATGCTTGTCCTCGCGCTTGCGCCCGTGCTGGTAGCGCTCCTCGCGGAACAGCTTGAGCGAGTGCGGCGTGATGATTGGCAAGGCACCGGGTGACAACGACGTTGTGCCGCTGATCTCCTTCTTCTTACGCTTGGCCAGGCTGTCCGTGATGCCACGTAAGCTAACCTTGCTGTCATACAGCACCGCGACGTTGCCTTTGTCACAGCCGACGACCACCTGGTTCAGCTTTGGATGCCACAGGCAACACACTGGGTTACTGCTACCGGGCATGTCTATCCTGCTCTTCTCCTCCAGTGTAGTGGAGTCTAGGAAGGACACGCAGCCAAGCGACTTGCGGTCCGGAGCAGCGAGTGGTACCGCCAGCGCCTTCTCAGATGGACTGAACGCCATGTTCATCATTGGCTGCAGCGTGGTCAAGCCAGTGCGCTCAGCGACGGGCTGTTGCCGCAGCGCACGTATGTCCCACAGGCGTACGCTGTCGTCGCCACCGCGGCTCAGAAGGCTATGGCCGTCGCATTTCATGAGCAGTGAGGAGACGAAACCGGAAGAATGGGCATTCTCGCGAATGAGAGACGGCCGTACGTACGGCCCTCCCATTGGGTACAGCTGCAAACTACCATCTTGGCAGCCAGCAACCATTTGCTTTCCGTTACTGCTGCAAAGGATTGCCGTGACTGGCAATCGGCGGGCCTGACGCTGGCGCACTTTGACGATTTCCGTGTGCTTCTTCCCATTTCCGGTGACATTCCAGAAACGAATTGTACCGTCGTCCGCCCCTGTCAGGAACACTTCTTTCTCGCGGGGATGCCAGCACGTCACGTTAACGCACGATATGTGACCCTTGGTACGCGTCATGTCGTGAAGGTAGCTATCGCCTTTGATCGTCTCCAGAACCTCACCGCCATTGCGATCGTACACTTTCACCTGGGCGCTTGTAGTGGCCACAGAGAACTTATCGCCAGTGGTACTATACGCCACACTGTTGACTTGATAGCCCTCCCAGGGAGTCTTGGTACGGAAACTCCGCAAAGACGAGTCCATAGCACTGAAATCCCAAAGCTGAATATCATAATCATAGCTTCCGGTGACAAGGCGGGCACCAGCTGGATCAAGAGACACTGCTGAGATAATCTTCGTGCCATGCTTTAGCTCAACTTGCTTCGATATTGGCAGAACATCGCGATTTTTCTCTGGCATCTCATCAGCATCATCATCGCTGGAGTCATCTTCTTCGTCCTCATCCTGCTCCTCATTATTGTCATTTTCATCATCGTCTATTTCCTTGCTCTCATCATCTTCCTCGATCTCAGTATGATGGCGCTTCTCTGAGTGAGTGTCTGGCACAGAGGATGGCTGCAATTTAGAGCTATCCCCACATCTCTGCCTGGCAGTTTTTCGCGTTTCAGCCAGCATACTTTCCAGGTCAAACGTTCTAGCCTTTTTGGTGCTCGATTTCGAACCGAACGAACCGAAGCCCATGACGGACGATATGTCCTGTTCTTCTCCACTCATCTTGTAAACCAGTTGCTCTCGCTACAAGTATTACTACATTACTTCCAACCAAACTCCAAAGAGAAAACAGCCGAACCCTGAAATGCAGCCATGCAATGTTTGTAATTGCATTCAATTATTTTAAATTCTGAACCCAAACACAAAAAAGCTTGCGGCACAAGTGACGTACCTAATGCGTACAGTCACGTACATACAGTGGGGACTTCAATAATGAATTGAAAAATCAAATTCGCGAGTTTTGCATAAAGCGCTAGTTTTTCTAAACCGGGAAGAATCGAGAAACAACCCTCTGAAAATTTGAACCCAAAATTCCAATCTAGAGTTATAGTCGATTGAAGATCGGAAAACGGGCAGAAAGTTGTGGTTTCCGTCCAGCACTGCACTATCTGGTATGTACCGTATGGCGATACAGGATGTGTGCATGCATGCAGTGTGCACGCATGCCGTGCGCGCCGATTTGCACAAGTCACACGTTTTCAGTTTTCACCGTCACTGCTTCTACCAGTGTGCGCGCAGTTCACTCGATTTTTTCGTCGACCACCAGGAAATCGCCGTGGGCTGGTTTCTGTGATCATTTTCCTTCTACGGCGATAAAGCGCGAGCCTCAATGTTGTAGAATCCTCTTGGTTTAGGATAATTCGAGGCCGCTGAACACGAAAATCGGGTGTTCCTCGCGAAGCCGAGTACGGATCTGGTCGAAATTAGTACTTCGAAGTGCACCCGCGCCAAGCGCGGACTCCGCGGTATTTTTGGAAGCATGGCATGTGTGGCACCATTGGAAAGGTAATGACCTCAGCTACCTAAAAATAGCATCGACAAGGCCGAAAAGGCCGCGGGAGAAGATACTCGGGCCGCGAACTGCATCTCGAACTGCAGCCACGAGGCGCCCATTCACTTTGTACAGGCGAGCTGTGACTGCACTTTTCGCTTTTCAGTGACCGGAACTGAACTCCCTACACACAGGCCACATAATGCGAATTATTTTGTCCAAAATTGAAATTCAAAAAGCGAAAAAAACGGTCAAAATGTTTTAAGAAATGGGACCCCGCACATTTTTACTATTTGCCATGGCGACCCCCGTAATAAGTCCAAATAGCCGGCCGGCCGGGCAGGGTTGGGCCTTTTTTCTTTTTCTTTCAAATTTCGTTGTATCAGTGAACCAAGACCATTCGACTGACTGTCTAAAAAAAAAACTAATTCAAGAGAGGGCTCTAATCGCCAGTACTGTAAAATTACAATAATGTACCGTAGACATCTACGTACTTTTGATGACATGTCAACTAGTAATTACTTGTTCTGGAGGCGTTCCTCGCGGGTACCGGGTGTGCTAGCAAGATGACATCATTATTCGGGTTTAGTGACAGGAACACTTGTCTAGTAATAGAGTCACATCATTATTTTACTGCAAATCAAAACTGTAATACTAGTACACTAGTTTATAGCCTCGCTGTATGCCATGGTATGCCGCGACTGCAGCAAGAGTCTGGCATAAAGAAAATGCAAGTAAGGATTAGTTGTGCATGTATCGGCGTTGTAATGGCGTCGTAATGGCGTCGCGTTCAAAGCATGCATAACTTAGCCATAAGCTGACGCTGGGACAAGCTGGCTCGGGCTAGCTGTCAAACTCGAAACGCTGAGCGCTGACAACTGACATGATCCGCGACTTCTCGCTGACTTGGCAGGCATGATTGGGGGTGGAGCGGGTGCTTGCATGTCCCTGATCTCGGACACCTCGCGGATTGACAGGCGTGATCAGGTGTGGAGCGGGCGGGTGCTTGCTTGTCCCTGATCTCGGACACCTCCTGCGTGCTCCGATCGTGTTCGAGGTAACTGGTACGAGTAGCCACACGCACGGATAGCACCGTTGTTCATTTTGAATCGTCAGCAGATTGGCTATAGGCCTTGCGTCCCCGACTCATGTCCATCACGGCCTACATGCAGGGCTGAAATCTCTTTGCTCCAGTGTGAATGAGACCCCCTTGGAAGTGAGACCGTTTGGGAGAGAAAGGAAAGCACTAAAACAGCGGACTCTGAAGGTTGGGCGCAGCTCCAGCGCCGCCCCCGTCGTCGTCCAGTATGGCGCAGTCACGTGGCGTCTCGCCACTGACCCTGTTGGTGGCAGCGACAGCAGTTCTCTGCTCGTTATTCTTGGTGATAGTTGACGGTAAGTAGAAACGGAATAATTCCCTGAACAAAGCTCTGAATACTCAATCTGCGGCCAGAACTGTGCATAGCCGGCCTAGAGTATGTCCCCTGTAGAATAGTATAGCTGTGGTCCTCCGATCGGTCCACGGAAGTACTGGTTTTAAAGTTGGTTGGGGTCTCAAGATCAACCAAGTAAGGGCAGCAAACGAGTAGATCTACGACGTAGATCTACTCTTCTACGCAGATCTACAATGTAGAATCTACATTGTACGTTTCAATCGACATGTTCCTCAGTGTAAACCTACCATGGCGTAGATCAGCAGAAAGTAGTTCAGCAGTTCAACAGTTCAGGCCAAGGACTTACGTCTTAGGTATGATCATCCTGACTCCTGACCTGAGCCATGATCATGATGATGCAGAAAACAGCCCAGCCCCAATGCATTGCGGTCTATGCACGCGAGCATTTTTTCGCCTGATCTCCTCACGTTTAGTTTTAGTCCGAGTTTCGGGCGTTGTAGCAGCGCATGGTGAAAATGTGCTAGAGTGGGAACATCCAGCGATGGCCGTGTCCAGAGCCACAGCGATACCGACGGAGTTCACCATGCAGCCCAGAACTATGACAGAATTAAAACCGAGTCGAGCTGGGGAGTCTGGACAGGTGAAAAATGGCAACAGGACTTAGCACTGACTCGTGAGCGAGCTAGCTATTCAAGCATTGAAAATCTTCAACTGGACACACTGCAGTCGGCGGTTTTCCAGGGTCGAAGGAGAAGATATACCCTGGTAGATCTGCAGAAGTAGAGCTAGGCATTGCGGCCGCAAGGTAAGGTCAGCAGTTTGCCCGAAATAAACATTGTAAGCAAGTCACGGATTTGGACTCACACAAAAAAATTAGTCATCGACATGTACATCGGAAATCCCTGAAAAGCTTCATTCAGCAAGCGTTATCCGCCTCCTGTTACTTAATACTAGCGAGCTAGCTGCACCGAAACTATGCTACAGAAGTATATATTTATGCATATCCACGAGTCCATGCATGACGCGTCACTCAGATGTAAATATCGCAACATTACGAGCATACTAGTAAGACCAAAGTGATGTTCTTCTGTAGCGGTGCTAGTGATCAGTTCTGTAATGTGTCTTTATCATGTCCTGGCAGCTCATCGACCATAGAAATTGTCCATGAACATAAGCACCTTGGTATAATTATTGACGACTGTCTAACATGGGCTCCTCATGTAGACTATATTTGCAAGAAAACTAGTAGTGTTCTCGGCATACTATATCCTCATCGTTCTCATTTGCCAAATACATGCCGTTCTATGTTTTATGGCTCGTATCTATTACCTATTTTCCAGTATGCATGTCAGTCTTGGTGTAGTCTTAGTCAACATCTTGTGAACAAACTTGAAATCCAACGTAAATCTCTTCTTAAAATATTGTTTAACAAGCAGCGTTTATTTCCTAGTCTTGAGCTCTATTGTATCAGCAATACTCAGCCACTGCAAGATAATCGCAAACAGCAGCTTTGCGTTTTGATCCACAGAATTCGCCTAGGTAAAATTCCCATTCATCTCTCCGTATTCAATTGGTTTTCTCTGTCCCGGTCCACTCGTAATAGTCTCTCACTTCCCCGTGCTAATTCAGCCGCATTTACCAACTCTCCTCTGTTTTTGTCCTACAGCCTTTGGCTGCAACTTCCCCAGCATGTTAAGACATCAAAATGTCTTTCCAGCTTTAAAAATGCACTGCGATCGCATAATGTAGTACGATAGGATCTCATTGCTGGATTCTTGTCTATCCTTCTTTCTTCTCTTTTTCTATATTCCTTTCTTTTCTTTTCTTGCCGTGGTTGGCTATCACCCCTCTCTCGCACTTTGCGTGCCAATTGGTCATGAACCACGAGTTGAGTGAAATACTTGAAAAAAAGTAAATAAAATAAATAAATACTCATGATCTGGCTGGCAAGTGCATGGTGCCTTTGCATTCTCCTAGTACTAACTGAACTAGAGAATACATTGTACTCTCATACCAGACCTTCAATAATACGTCACGAGGAATCACACCCGATTTGGCATCGAGTTGGTACTAATGTAGGTTGCTTTGTCAATGCTTTTCTCTTGTTGACGTCCAGGTCAAACGCCGACATACGGATTCTTTGTGGAGAGGTCTGTATCCTCACGGTATCGCAATGCAAGGAGATGGTTCGAAGCTGGCAGAGACTCTTCTTGGAGGACATCAGGCGGCCCTGGCGGAAAATATGGATTGTTCTTTGCCCAGCCATCGGGTGCTTTTGACCGTGGCAGATACACGGCCCCAAAGTCCGGTAAGGAAGGTGCAATGGGGCCGTAGAAATCTGACCATCACGTGGACCAAACAAAAGCTTACAAAGTAGTCTGCGGATTCATGAAATTCATGCAGCATCACTTGACTTTGACTTTACTACTCGAAGTATTATAGTATTTATTTTTATTTTTTATGAAATCCACAAACCCATCCCGGTTAAGAAGTATAAACCCATTTTGAGTAGTATAGTGGGGCGAGGAAGAGAAGA